GTATAGAGAGTAATAGAATTGTATTATGATCATGTCCGGTGGTCGGTCATGTTGAGGGGTGTAGTGTTCTATGTATAGAGAGTAATAGAATTGTATTATGATCATGTCCGGTGGTCGGTCATGTTGAGGGGTGTAGTGTTCTATGTATAGAGAGTAATAGAATTGTATTATGATCATGTCCGGTGGTCGGTCATGTTGAGGGGTGTAGTGTTCTATGTATAGAGAGTAATAGAATTGTATTATGATCATGTCCGGTGGTCGGTCATGTTGAGGGGTGTAGTGTTCTATGTATAGAGAGTAATAGAATTGTATTATGATCATGTCCGGTGGTCGGTCATGTTGAGGGGTGTAGTGTTCTATGTATAGAGAGTAATAGAATTGTATTATGATCATGTCCGGTGGTCGGTCATGTTGAGGGGTGTAGTGTTCTATGTATAGAGAGTAATAGAATTGTATTATGATCATGTCCAGTGGTCGGCCATGTTGGGGGGTGTAGTGTTCTATGTATAGAGTTGGCTGTAGTCACAAATCTGATTGATTGCTCTCAGTTTCTGCACTTTGCACCGTCCCATTGCTGAATGTGTCCACATCAAATCTAAGTTTGCATGCACAACAGCAGCGTCTGGGAAAATTGTTTTCAGATGTTGGCAGCTCTCTGCTATTATTACATAATTCTCATATTAGGGTCTGGCTCCCGAAAAGGAGAATTTGTCTATCAGTAAAAAAACAAAAAATCAGTCTTTGGTCAGCTCAGTTTAGTTTTCAGCTGTTTAAGGTTTACAGCAATTTCGCACACTTTAAGCCGGCCATATTATCCCAGTCCTTGCTGACGTTACTAAACACCGCTTTCATCTCTTACTGTATTAAATGGATTTAGAGAGTTTGAAAACAAATCAGCAAAACTGTTTGTTTAAAAAAATCTCAGTTTCAGACAAAAATGGAACCCGGGGAAAAACAGGGCCAAGAGAATAAGAAAGGAAACATTCCGCCAAGGGGTGAGGGGGGAGACATTCTTGCCGTGAAGCTCGTCATGTGGCCGGTCCCAAGGCTGCATGGTCACTCTCCATGAATCTTGAAAATTATGCTCAGATGGAGCTCGCCAATCAGTGGATCGGCTTCAGCAGTCTCCTTCTGCCAGCTGAACAAGTTCCTCAGGCAGAGGCCACATGACTTGTGCCTAGGCATTGATCACATGACCACACAGAGTTACCCAATTTATAGCAAATGGGAGGAACTTTCTTTGACTTTTCCTGATTTAGTAAGGGAAAAGTTTGACTTTTTAGGGTCGGTCCATATTTGTAACCCTTAACCAGTCCCATGTCTCCTACTGCCAGCTGAACAGGTTCCTCAGACAGAGACCACATGACTTTTGCCTTGGCAACAGTCACATGACTACACAGAGTTACCCAATTTAGAGCAAATGGGAAGAACTCTCTTTGACTTTTCCTGATTTATTAAGGGAAAAGTTTAACTTTTTAGGGTCAGTCCCTTTTCTTTAACCCTTTACTCGTCCCATATCCATCTCCTCGGATAGGCTACTTTACTGTTTGTGTGCCTACAATGGGAAGAACAGTTTGTTCACCCTTGGTGATGGATACATTTCATACATTTATTCATCCTGTGCTTGGAATTAACCTTGCCACAGCCAATTATCCTTGTATTTTTGTTATATGTATAGAAAATTCCAGGTATGTAGTGCAAATGCCATTGTATAAATATGACGGGGAGGTAAAGCATTGAGAAAGTAAATGATTTGTCCCTTGAGTATGACATATCCTTCGGGGTTAGAGAATTCCATATTCTAACTCAACGAACTTCCACTAATGTGATGGCTCTAGGCCACCAAAAGTTCTTTAAGTGCGGCAAATCTTTTGACCGTCTTCTGGTGCCAAAATACAACTTTTTAAATATGTCCTCAGTATACCACTCATGTTTAGGAGTAGCAGGGTATGGTACCGTATCAGCCATCGATAAGTGCAGAAAGTTTGGAGTGTAAGGGATACCTTTTATTGGCTGAATTAATAAGTTATTATAGATGCAAGCGTTCCAGAATCCTTCATCCAGGGTTATACATTTGTATTTGAGATGTAAGAATTCCAACGATGGGATCTAAGCAATCCCAATGTTTGCACATTTAATGACTAAAGTTAGCCAAATAAAGGTATCCCTTAAACTCCAATTATATGTAGAGAATGGATTGGGCGTCTCCTTCAGCCTTTCTCAACCATGGCATCCTGGGGTGGCTTTTAACTTCTTCAGGGGTGCCTCAGAATTTTTTACACAGCATCATGTCTTTCCATGGTGCAAGCAAGATTCTGATGTGATGTGTGCTTCTCATATGATGGGTGCTCCTGATTTGATGGGTGCTCCTGATGTGGTGGGTGCTCCTGATGTGATGGGTGCTCCTGATGTGATGGGTGCTCCTAATGTGATGGGTGCTCCTTATGTGATGGTTGCTTCTGATGTGATGGAAGCTCCTGATGTGATGGTTGCTTCTGATGTGATGGGTGCTCCTGATGTGAAGGGTGAATTCTTAATGTGAGTGGGGGGATTCTGATATAAAAGGATGGAGCTCCTGATGTAAAGGGGCACTCTGATGCGAAAGGGGACTGTAATGTGAAGGGGGGGTTGTGATGTGATAGGAAGGGGCTATGATGTGAAGGGGGCTCATAGTGTGAGTGGAGGACACTGTCATGTGAAGGGGACTCCTAATATAAATGGGGGCTCCTGATAAAATGGGTGACTCTAATGTGAAAGGGAAGATTCAGATGTGATGAGAACTCTGATTTGAAGGGGGAACCTATCTGAGATAAAGGTCTGGTATGGATTTAGGAGGAACCACATACATTTTTTACATTTAAATTTTTTAGAATGGGGTGCCTTGAGATTTTGCATACTTTTAAAGGGTGCCATGACTTAAAACAGGTTAGGAAACCCTGGTCTGCTTCCTACTGGACATGGCAGATCCCACAGCTTCGTACTCATAGCCTGTATCCAAACCGGCCACAAATAATCTGGAAGCAGCGTCTCAAAAAAACAAAAACGTGTTGGCAGGCAGACGTAAATGACATTAGAAGTGCGAACGCTCAAGGCTGCAATTCACAAAGCAAGCACTAGAGGGTGCACTGCTTGTATTTTACAAGTCCGCTGCTCTTCAATGGCTTCAGTTTCTTTTGCCAGCTGCACGGTTTAAAGGGTTGATTTTAAGTGGCTGTGCTGTTCCTGCAATGGTTGTGCTGTGTCTGGCAAGGTGTTACTATAAAAATAATACACGTGGTAAGAAAACATTAAAAGGCAAATCTGAATTTTAACCCTATTTTTTCATGGTAATCCTCCTCAATCACTTGCCAAAAATCACTCTACAGCAGGATCCTGGTCGTTTTGCCGTTTAGCTCATACGAGGAACCACGGCATCCTTTCTTACAAGCATAGCACAGGGATAGGCAACCTTTGCACTTCAGCTGTGGTGAAACTACAAATCCTTTTATGCCTTTGCCTTTAGAAGTCATGCCTGTGGCTGTGAGAGTCTTGCAATTCCTCATAGGATCTGTAGTTCCACCACATCTGGCGTGCCAAGGTTGCCTTAGCCTAGGGGTAGACAAACTCCAGCCCTCCAGCTATGTTGAACCTACACATCCAGTCATGCCTGTGGCTGTGAGAGTCTTGCAATGCCTCATGGAACCTGTAGTTCCACCACATCTGGAGTGCCGAGGTTGCCTTAGCCCAGGGGTAGACAAACTCCTTCCGTCCAGCTGTGGTGAACCTGCAAATCACATTATGGCTTTGCCTCCGGGAGTCATGCCTGTGGCGTTCAGAGTCATGCAATGCCTCATGAGACCTGTAGTTCCACCACAGCTGGAGTGCCGAGTTTGCCTACGCTTGCCAAAGGGCATTAAGTCCAGTAACTATTAAATCATGTGCACAGTGACAGTAGAGAGAAAAGCTGTTTTATATCAGAAAAGCAAAAGCAGGGGAGGGGAGGGAGGGAGAGTGGCTAAATGACTTACAGAGCAAGGAGAAGAAAGGGTTGAGTGAATAAAAAAATGAAGGCATAATGAGACTCCGAAATCTTTATGGGAAACCTAAGGAAAACAATTGTAATGGTGAAAACTGGAATGTATTTATGGTGCATTTGTCACTATAAATATGTTGGCCAACAGCTTGGAAAATCACCCTGGGCAGCCAACAAAGACGTTCAGGAGCTCAGAAACGCCATGATTGTTGTAAGTGATGCTCAGAATTGAGAGTTAGTTATTGTGAAGGGGCCGTTCATGGTCATCCTTACCCAAAAATACAATGAGTGCCTATCATCGCTTCCAAGTTGTGTTCTACGTTTATATATCCAAAACGTTTTGGATAGCGTAAGGAAAAGAAAAGGTTTTGGCTAAAGATACACATTAAAAACTGCACCCAAGCAAGGTGGCCAACCGTAGTAAGGTTCAGTTGGCTCCCCTATAATGAGAAGCGGTTGGAAGGAACAGTTTTATTATCTGGCCAAACAAATGAAAGCTTGCATTTTTCAGTCTATCGAGCTAGCCAATGGATGGCAGGACTTTGATGCCAAATGTTCTACGAACAAAACCCAACAAACAAGAGGATGGTGAACGCGTCTCCTAAGCCAGGAAAGTCTTACATGTATAGACGACTGCTGACTATGGGGGAAATTTTCCCATTCACACATTGCTTGTGTTTCTTGCTCAGACTGACAAATTTCCTCCCTCATTTTGGGATTCTGCTCTCCGATCCCTCATGTTTTAAGGAGCTGAACTTTATTTTGGCTCACCAAGGAGTGCGCTTACATTACATTACACACAAGGCCCACACTTGCCAAACAGCACTGTAGCCCGGCTGGGCCAGAACCTGGCTTGGCTCGTTTTCCTGCTGTAGGCGTAGCTTCCCCTTGCTGTTGATTTTATAGTGTCCTCTTCTGCCATGAATAAGTCTGAATGAGTGTTGAGCTTGACGAATATGTTGTGTTTGTTCTTGTCTGCCTCTCCTAGGTGTTCTCGAAAATCTTCAGCCATGAAGCGTTGGAGACCTACCTCCCGAAAATCCAGCTGGTCATCCAAGACACATTAAGGATGTGGAGCAGCAGCCCCGATCCTATCAACGTCTACTTTGAGGCTCAGAAGCTGACCTTCCGCATGGCCATCAGGGTTCTGCTGGGCTTCAGGCTGTCTGACGAGGAACTGAACCTATTGTTTCGGGTGTTTCAACAGTTTGTCGAAAATGTCTTCTCGCTGCCAGTGGATATCCCTTTCAGTGGTTATAGAAGGGTATGTAGCCATAAATATTTTGCAGTCTTTCAAAGTAACAAATGAGTTTTAAAAATGAATTGAAAGGTTTTGTATAAGGGATTAGTTCACACAAAAATTGATATTTCAGATTTTAGATGCTGATGACAACTAACTAGGAGTTCCCAGCTCTGTACACCTGCTGTGCCCATTCTGGAAGGGTTCCCACCATCCCTGTGCTGAGTTCCCAGCTCTGTACATCTGCCCTGCCAATTATAAGGGGCTCCCACCATGCCTGTGCTGAGTTCCCAGCTCTGTAAACCTGTTGTGCCCATTATGAGGGGTTTCCACAACCCTTGGGTTGAGTTTTCAGCCCTGAACACCTTCTGTGCCCATTACAAGGATCTCCCACCATCCCTGTGCTGAGTTCCCGGGTCTGTACACCTGCTGTGCCCATTATGAGGAGCTCCCGCCATCCCTGTGCTGAGTTCCCGTGCCTCTACACCTGCTGTGCCCATTATGTGGAGCTCCCACCACCCCTATGCTGAGTTCCCGGGTTTGTACACCAGCTGTGCCCATTATGAGGAGCTCCCGCCATCCCTGTGCTGAGTTCCCGGGCCTCTACACCTGCTGTGCCTATTATGAGGGGCTCCCACCATCCCTGCTGGACTTTTATTAGTTTAACATTATGGATAATGTAACAGGAACATTTGAAACACAAAGGTGGGTGGGAACACCCAAAACTCAAACCCATTGGCATATATTCCAGGACTAAAACAGTATTCTGGTTCATTTTCTAGAGGAATCAATAAGGTCTAAACCTGCTTTGCAAAAGCTGTGCTGGGATAAATAGTTTATTATGGTTCTGTGACCACAAGAAAAGTCTAACAATACAACAGTTCTCTTACAATATTCACCTTCCAGTGTCTGGGAGTACCTGTATTTAAAACCATAAAGGTCTGCTTTATGTGCAGGGAACCCCCAACCTCAGATGCACACTTCTGGAAATCCTTTTGTATTATTCCAACTCTGAGATCCAGCATGTTTGTTTGCAATCTCAGGAGTCAATAGTGTCCAGTAGGGATAGCGGGGGACTACAACAGCTGGAGTGAAGCTAAAGAAGTGTGCACAGTAAGTGAATGGTTGCCTCATGTTGTGTTAGGATACACTGTTATTATGTTAGACTTTTTGCCAGCAGAGATTAAGTTTAAGGGTTATCTGTTGTATAGGACCTTTCAGCCAGCAAATCTCAGTTCCACTGGTTTCTGAACCAGTCCAGTACTCAAGCAGCTCTTGTGTCTTCCTGAAAATCCAGATCGGTTGGGATAGCTTTCCCCAGCCAGTTGTTTTCTGTAGTATAGTCCTGTTGCGGTTGGATCTTTTGACCAACCACAAGTCTTGGCGGCTCAGGGATATACTGTCCATATATTTTCATTTGATAAGTGTGAATCAGTCATTCCCTCTCACACATTTAAGAGTCTCTTTTTTGAAAGTAGTCACCCCCTCCTAGAACGCCAAAGGATGTGAACTGTTTAAATCTTACCAACTTCCTAAACTTGTAAGTTGGCCCCCTGACAAGGTGGATTGGAGGCAATTGCTCTCCCTGCCCTTATATTAGTTCCCTAATTGGTTACCATGCACATAAAAAAATTAAAAGAAAAAAAAAAACAACCATGGTTGTCTCTGAGCGGCATCAGCGGTGATTCATCCCGTAATGATTTACGGCGTTCTGATGTGTCAGTTTTGCTTATAAATATTTTGGGATAACGAGGTTTACAGGCTAAGCTGCTCATATAAAAAAAAAAGGCATGAACGAGAACAGGAGCAAGTCATGAGAAAGACTGCATTCCGGGCAGATGACTAATGGATGAAACCAATTAATTTTTTAATTCAGGATTAAGCCAAATGCTGCTTAAGTCATAGAACGTAGAAACCTTTTTTTGTTCTCGAGTTACCTCTGAAATACCTGCTGCTTTAATAGCTTTTAGGGCAGCGTGAGACGTGAAGAACCTCGTAAAAGGAACTTACTGGCGTTCACTTAGACAAGTGTTATAACAGCCTGTTTCTTTTTCTTTCTTTTCTTTTTTGGGTGGGGGGTGGAGTGATATGGTTAAAGGGTTACTCTATCCAAAAGTAGTATATCAGTTATCTGCGGACAGTGGTGGCCTGTATCTGCCACTGTCCATAATTTCTGGCTCTATTCTCATCCATTGTATATTTTTGGGTTTTCTCACCTTTGGAAGGTACTTGCTCCTCTTATGCTGTTTTTCAGCATATAAAATAAACTAAAACTCAATGGAAAGTCTGTACTGAGAGATACTTTGAGGTTACAGCATCAGAAATGGGTGATCAGCATTACTCCAGTAATGAGATTGTTACCATATACAATGGTGATGTGCTACTCTACGATATGCAGAATTACTTGTGTAATGGGGATGTGCTATTCTATGATCTACAGAATTACTCCTCTATTGGGATTGTTACCATATACAATGGTAATGTGCTATTCTATGATATACAGAATTACTCTTACTCTAACTGTGGTAAATCCCTTAGCTTCCTCATGTCTAATGCAGATGATTGGACCTGCATTAGATGTGATGATGTCAGCGGGCTTAGACCACTAGAGCCCAGAGGAGAGGCTGCAGGGACTGGTCTAGCGTGATCAAGGATGAGGAGAGTATAACTTCTTTAATCCAGTGCCTGGACCAAAACCGGTTGATAACCCTTGCAGTGCGGAGGTAGCCCCACTGTAAGGGTTAAAGGAGAACTATGAGTTTAAGTCTTTTCCCCATAGTTCTCCTTAGGGTAACGGGAGGACACAAACTAGCGTCCTCCCGTCACCCTAGGCTCAGTATACCGATGTAGCTCGCGGTATACTGAGACGCCGCAGCTGAAGCAGGTCCCGACAATTGTGCCGGGATCCGTCCAGCTGCGTGACTGACAGCTGGCTCTGCCTATCGAGAGGCAGAGCCAGCTGTACCCACCCCCCCCCCTGTCCGTTCCGCCAGTTAGCGCTGGCGGATCGGGGAGGGGGGAATCCAGCCCCTCCCCTGTCACGGCAAAGAGCCGTGACGGGATCGAGAGGTGAGCGAACGCCGGTATGTTTTCGCTCACCTCCCGATCTACCGAGCCGACCTATGACAGTCTCATTGTCACAGGTCGGCTAGACCTATGAGGTGAGTGAAAAGCACTCACCTCATAGTTCTCCTTTAACTTTATTTCCTGGAGTTCTTTTTTTAAATGCTGGAAATTATTGATTTACTTGAATTGAAGCAAGCAAGTTGTCCAGTCTGCAGAAAATCATCCAATACATAAACCATGTGCTTGTGTCCCTGAATTGTGTGATATTCAGCAGGTCAGAAAGATAAGCATTTAGGTGAATTAAAAATGAGGAAATCAGCAGTTCTGATTTGATCAGAAGTGTTTGTGATCATTTAGAGATTTTCCAACATGTTCAAAAATCCCGGAGCCAACCTTCATCTTCCTAGGGTCATTGTGTTAGTCATGCAAGAAGTGGTGACAGATCCTGGGGCGGATGAATGTCTCCCACCCTTTGTTGTCAGGGACATGTCATCGATCTTAGGAGAGCCATAATTATGAAGAACTGTGATGTAACTGACACAGAAACAGATTCAGCCACTCCTCAGTAAAGCCAAACATTGACAGGACATGGCCTATGATGCTTCTAACTGCTACAGATCATCAGGTGATAAAGGTAGAAGTTGTAGACATACCCTCCGACCACAGTAGAATGTATTCACTATGTTCTGTGTGACATCCCAAAACCTGTCACCTTTCAGTTCGCTATTTAAAGTGGAAAATCTGTAGAGTGACGTCTTGTTTGTTCTCTTCATCTCTTCATCCAGGGTATCCAAGCACGCGAGACGCTGCTGAAGGGTTTGGAGAAAGCAATCCAGGAGAAGCTGCAGAACACCCAGGGGAAGGACTACACGGATGCCTTAGATGTCCTTATTGAGAGTGGCAAGGAGCACGGCAATGAGCTGACCATGCAGGAGCTGAAGGTGATTGTCCTTCTGTGGAACGCCACCCCTACAGAGGCCCAACAAAAAATTTTGGGGTCTTGATACTAAGTTTGTGAAAATTGCATTTAAGTGAACATGTGGCATGGAAAAGCATAGCCTCACTTTAGGCCAGTTATTTATTGGTCATCATTTAAGTGAACATGTTGCCAGTTATTTATTGGTCATTATTTGTCTATATTGTTGGCAGATGTCACTTAGCAGTGACCTTACTTTCAATTACTAAGGGACATCTGCCAACAATTTAGACAAATAATGACCAATAAATAACTGGCAACATGTTCACTTAAATGCAATGTTCACAAACTGAGTAAGACCCCAAAATCCCGGTTAAAAGGGAATTATAAGTTATATTAATTTGTGATTTCCTCTGATCCTTACACTTCCATACTTAGGTCATTTAATTCATATACAACATGGTGTATGTCTTCTGGTGGCCATCTATATTTCAGGGAATGAAGTTAACCATAAATATTCATTAGGTGATTTAGGATGACCACATTGACATAGCTAAAAAACAAACTGTAAAGAGACTATAGTTCCTCTTTAAAATGCAGAATGCCCTGGGAGGTAATATAAGGGAAGTGGTCCCTGGTAGCTGTGAAGCAGTCTTCTTGAATGTGTATCAGTATCTAGTTAGATAGAAAAATAAAGAACATCAGTGGACTCAAGGGCTCATTAGCCTTGGAAGGGCTGTGTTGTGATGATTGGATTATGGTGGTTTAAATTGAACGTTGGCTTTGCCCATGCAGGAGAAAGCCACAGGTTCATTTTCAGTATATATATATATATATATATTTATTTATTTTATTACAGACATTTATATAGCACCAACAATTGACGCAGTACCTTACATAGTGCACATTCTCATCAGTCCCTGCCCTAAAGGAGCTTACAGTGTAAGGTCCCTATCACACATACATACAAGGGCCAACTTACCAGCATGTCCTTGAAGTGTGGGATAAAACCAAAGTACACAGAAGGAACCCATGCAAGTACTGTCCTGGTTGGGATACACATATTAGGGCCAATTTTAGATGGGAGTCAATTAACCCAATAGCATGTCTTTGGAGTGTATAAGGAAACAGGAGTACAAAGATAGACCCCATGCAAGTCTGTCCTGGTTGGGCTACACATAATAGAGCCAATTTGTGACGGGAGCCAATTAACCCAACAGGAAGTCTCTGGGGTGTGGGTGGAAACCAGAGTACACTGAAGGAACTCATGCAAGTAGTGTCCTGGTTGGGATACACATAAAGAGCAAATTGTAGATAGGAGCCAATTAACCCACCAGCATGTCTTTGGAGTGTGGGAGGAAACTCACGAAATCACAGGGAGACTTTATACAGATCGTGTCCTGGCCAAGATTTGAAAAGAGGACCCCAGTGCCACAAGCCACTGTACTCTCCGTCCTCTGGCTCCTCATTGCTCCATTTAAAAGGAATGTCCTATTTAAGCTACGAGTCGTTGAGCTTGTAGATCACACAGGGCTATGGTGTTGACTGGCTGACTGATATTACATAGAGTGAGCCACATGTTGCTCCACATCCAAATATTCCCTCCATCTCCAACCACTGAATGGAGCACCAGTGGAGTGAACGCAAGCTATGTGCTGCTATGGGGGTTTAGAGCAAACCTGTTCCCTTGCACTGAATGCGCAAAGAATAGATTTGCTTTAAAACACTTACTAACTTCTTGACTCCATTGATGACATTTCCCTGCCTGTTGCACTTTGCAGAAAAGCTGCTATGGAACACACAGGCAGCACATCATTCAGGCCCATTGAAAAATGAGACGTACAATTCCAAATGATCCAATCACTGGCGGCTTGAATGCTACATTTAGCCCCATAGATTATTGATGTCATCCTCATCTTTCGCTCCCTCGCTGGGCACAGAAAAGGCTGCCAGTGTACGTATCGTGCATGTACTTGCCTAGCAGCGAGCAGTTTGTCTAATCAAGAGATTAGCTCGTTCACAGCGCTGGATGCAGGTCTGATTACATCATATGGTAGTAATGGCAGCTGAATTAGTGACATGTTGGGGAAGCTTGCCCAGTGCACTTGGCATCATCCCAGACAGTTCTCCATGCCAAGTACCAAGGCTGCCTGTAGAGTCCCTGCTCCCGATCTGACGGGGAATGTTCTTGTGATGTGCAACATGATGGCCTTTGTTGGGTTTTTTTTTCTTTTTCGGATGCACATTCCAGGGCTGTCATCTTCATCCTATATAATAGTTACTAAACTAATAAAATAATGAGTTACTAAACTAATAAAAAAAAAAACCTGGGCTGGATGATGAGACTGCATAGTATTAAGTTGTGTAGCAAGGATGAGGATTGCATGAACAAGCCAACAACACCGCCTCCCTTATTTCTTTCTTGACAGTTTTCCTTTTAAAATAAATACTTTACAAAGTAGTATATTCACATTTTCTGTATTTGAAACCAGCGCTGTGCAAGTTAAAATTCCCCTTTTAAAAAGTTGACTTTTGTTTTGCTCCTTTACAGGATGCTACTCTGGAGCTGATCTTCGCTGCCTATGCCACCACCGCCAGTGCCAGCACATCGCTTATCATGCAGCTGCTGAAGCACCCTGCTGTTTTAGAGAAACTGAAGGAAGAACTCCGAAGCAACGGGATCCTGCACAACGGCTGTGTCTGTGAGGGGGCACTACGTGTGGACACCGTTACCACCCTGCCTTACCTGGACTGCGTCATTAAAGAGCTGCTGCGGCTTTATAGCCCTATCTCTGGGGGCTACCGGACCGTTCTGCAGACCTTTGATCTGGATGTGAGTACCCATGCATATCCAGCTTTCTGGGTTTGCATTAAGCTGGGTGCTTTAATTTTATAACTGTCAAGGAGACTTGTGGTTTTATCTGGGGAGGGACAGATCTATACAAGCTTGTTCCACCGCCGGTCCAAAGGGTAATGACTTTAAGATGACGTCAACCTTAAAGTATATGATGCACCTACCCTATAAATTAGGAAAATTGATAGTGTGTGGGCAGGAGACCTACACTTTGGAATATTTATATAGTAGGGAAAAAGACATGTCCACCAAGTTCCTCCAAAAGACAAAAAAAAACTGCATCTTCAGTCATTTAGAACCTGATAAATAGGGATCAGCTCAGGTTTGGATCAAATCCAAGCTCATCCAAACCTGAAAGGAAGCTGTCAATGCTGACCCAATCACCTGCGGCTGAGGCATTCCCTGCCATAAACAAAGGGGCAAGGTGCTTGTCACATCATTGAACTTATATGGCCACATGGCTATACTAGGTCAATATCATTGACTAAATATGGCCATGTGCCCATATAAGCCTAGTGATGTCACCAGCACCCTGCCTCTTACTTTACATGCAGCTGCAGGGTAGGAAATGCCCCTGCCGTAACTGATTGGGCTGGCACTGACAGCTTCCTCTATGGTTTGGATGAGCTCTGGCTCGGTTCGAACCCAAGTTCATCCCTAGTCATAACCCACAGTTGATCTGAAAACTCTTCATACACTATTGGCTGTCCTCTGAGCCCTAGATAACCTTTGTGTAATTACGGCTTCCCATGTGTATGATGTGTGACACATCTGTAACATTGCCCGTTTTCAAGCACCCAAATGCCAAAGTACCACTGCAAGCCTAAATTCAGGTGTCTGGAAGTATGGTAGGTCAGTATAAAGACAGGAGATAGGTATGTACACAAACCAAACTGATTGAATGGATCTCATGACTTTGAAAAAAATACTGACCACAGCGATTTTTGTATATTTGTCTAAAGCAGCTTTGCCAAAATAGATTTTTAAAGTACCATAGAGCTTTTAATTTTAGTAAGTGGATTTTGACTAACAGAAATATTATCTCTTACTTCCATAGGGATTGCAGATCCCCAAAGGATGGAGTGTCTTATACAGCATCCGGGACACTCATGACACGGCTCCTGTCTTCAAGGATGTTGATGTCTTTGACCCAGACCGCTTTGGGCAAGACCGTACAGAAGACAAAGATGGCAGGTTCCATTATTTGCCGTTTGGCGGTGGAGTGCGGAACTGTTTGGGCAAACAGCTGGCCAAGCTTTTCTTGAAGACCTTGGCCATTGAGCTGGCCAGCATGAGCAGGTTTGAGCTGGCCACCAGAACTTTCCCAAAAGTCATGCCAGTGCCGGTGGTCCATCCAGCTGATGAACTAAAGGTCAGGTTTTATGGACTAGATTCGAACCAAAATGAAATTGTGACGGAAACAGAAGCCATGCTTAGTGCAACAGTGTAGCCATCGAGGCCTTCAATATCCTTCCCTAAAAAGAAACAAACAAACTGGGAAACAAGCACACAGTCAAAAATCAAAGCTAGATAGTAACAAGAAAGAAAAATATATCCACGAACAATACTAACTTATGTATACCGAGCCTTTTCAAACCGTGACTATATCTCTGTGGAATGTTTAACTTAAATATATTAACATATATACAAAAAAAAGCTGATCCAGGTCCTATCTTCATGAATCCTGCTGCAGAAAAGGGAACCTGGAGATCACTGTCTGGGCAAGGACTTCACTTATGGACTTTTTGGAGAGCTAGTGGATCTCCTTGTTGAGGGATTCTTGGGTGGTCTCCCAATGTTTACAAGACCTACCCCTGTTGTTGCATTCTTGTCTGTACTCCAGAAGTTGTTTCAGTGTTACACATATCAGTGATACCGGGGTTCTTACTCCTGTTTATATACCTGCCTTATTTTGTTTTCTTTGAGGTGAAAAAAAAGAGCTTTCCAAGAAAAGCTTACAATGACGGGTCATTATACTGAGTGTTCTTTCGCATGTTAACAATCACAGGGTTTACATTATAATCATAGAAGAAAGTCAACATCTACATTGGATGACCCAACTAAAGCACTGGAAGCAGTGATTGAGGTTTGAGGTGAAACTAAAGGTGGACACCACTTATAGATACTCCTATCTTATTGATATACCTTTAAAATGGTTGGGCTGGTCATTGGCCAAACTACTCTCAGCTAGAGATCAAAGCTATCTATGACTGTGGTAATAACTCCAGGACTACAAAACCAGCAAATAACACCATTGCAAAGGTCTTCTCCTAAAGGGTTGATGTCATTTTCTGTAGTGGCAATTTATAGTCGTTTGGATGTTCTCGCCATGGTGAGCCACAACAAGGCGGCCTACCTGAATCTAGCGTATGACAATGTAGACATTTCAGTTTAATTTCTAATACTCTTGTGTGTAACTGTCTTTAATATCAGAGGCCAGTGCCTTAATTTCACATGGTCTGCTCCTTCTTTCTTAATAGGCAGACCCGTACATTCCCATAAATCCGTCCACAAGCCGTGAGCCAGCACTTGGTCTGATTTCCTTAACTTTCTTGTGCATTCCATTGGGGTCACCCATATTTTTATTGACTATGTTCCTGATGGCCAGTGGCCTTTAGAAATACCCCTTTCTGAAAATTTTTGTCAACGTGCAAGACTATCAGATGTATTTTTTTTAAACAATGTTTTATATCAGACACATAATTGTTCTTTGAAAATATTGGCCATGGTCTAGTAGGCATTGGGTGGCCCAGATTTGGTTGAGGTTTCTTTGAATCTAAAGCTTTATTACGCCGTTACCTACAGTGGAAAGCCATTCATAATGTTATATCTGTAAAAAATCAGTCAAGGCAACTGGACTTACTGTATTTTTCTTGAAGACGTTTCACTGGTCATCCAAGCAGCTTTCTGAATTCAGAATGACTTGTACAAAAAATTATCTGGGAATAAATATGGTGAACGTCGCTCCAATCCACATAATCTGTTAGTTGCAACCAGGTGTTGATTGCATTGGCATAAGTGGTGTCTAGGAGGTGTTAATAAGAGAGAGGTGTTAAAACAGCATTGTATGTGGCAGACAATAGATGTCTCACCCCCCCACACCTCAATTCAAGCATGGCTTCTCCATTTTTACATGCATGGCCTCTTTCACACCTCTTTTAAACCAGTCCTCCTCCCTATCCATTTATAATGCTGTCCATTATGTTCATTCACAAGTTCATGTGGTGTGAAAATGATCAACCAAACCCAACAAATTCCGATAGAAAAGGTCTGGAGATCTGGTTGGCTAGTCAACCAGGGGTGACCTATCAGCAAGGGCCCACATAGTCATTTTCTATCATCAAGTATTAAACTGCAGTATGGTATGACCATGTGGATTCTAACATTCTTTCTAGAAGGTCTGGAGATCTGTGGCTAGTCTACCAGGGGTGACCTATCAACAAGGGCCCACATAGAGTCCACATGGTCATACCATACTGCAGTTAAATACTGGATGCCATTCTCCCCCTGATAAATTGAACCTTTGTCTCCTGAAATTTGGTTACCATACGGCAATTTAATACTTTACGTCATTCTGCCCCTGCTGACGTGAACCTTTTTTTTCTTGAAATTCAGGTCCCATGAAACAATACTAAAGCTGAATTCATAGACATCTCAAGTTCTGCAAAGCCATTTTTGCCAGTCCCAATATTGTGGCTCAGTCCCCAATCTTTGCACGGGTCATCTATCCTCGCTTACTGAATTTTAATATTATATATTGTAAAATATTTCCTACATTTTGATATTGTTACAGTCAAACCTAAAATCAGTACTTGTACTTACTCATTATCCCTATCAGACAAGCACTTGATTTGTTTGTGGAGGAGGATGCAATAAATTTCATTTGATGATATATTTTTTTAATTGAACTTTTTTTTTTTTTTTTTTCATTGTGGCTGATATTTTCTCTCTCTACCTGGAGTGAAACTTTTTACACTACCCTGTGTATTATTTATATACTATTTATTCACTATATTAAAAGAAAAAAGTAAATAAATCAAAGTACAGGTTGGGTGAAACTTATCTTTGTGCTGTCATGTGATAAGGAGGCACAGTTCGCATTGTTGACTTATAAGCTGATTAACAGGGAACTCAGATTTTATTTTTTTTGTCTTTGTTTTCATCCTCCAAAACCTCACCCCTAAGGCCTCATTCACACTGTAATTGGCCCGTACGTACAGCTCCGTGCTGCGTGCACGGCCGTACCGGGCAGCTCCCAGGAAGGACAGGTGCTGCGTGTCATTAGTACGCAGCCCCTGTCCGTCTCTATGGGACTACGCGGCCGTACGCCCCACTACGCTCACCCGCCCTGCATGCCCGTGCGGGTGAGCGAACTCGTACGCTAAAAAGATGGATCCGGTCTGCGTCCGAGCCAGGAAACACGCACCCGTACGGACCTGCACTTGAGGTGAGCGTAGGGGGGCGTACAGCCGCGTAGTCCCATAGAGAAGGACGGGGGCTGCGTACTAATCACACGCAGCACCTGTGCTCCCCAGGAGCTGCCCGATACGGCCCTGTATGGAGCTGTATGTGCGGGCCGATTGAAGTGTGAATGAGGGCTAAACATTAACCGTTGGAAAAAAGAAAAAAAAAAGAGAAAATGTCTCTGCTCACTCGGTGAATCCATTCACCATGAGAGGTGAGCCTATGGACCAAACTCTAGAAGAAGCTCAGAGCTCAGACCTTTTATATATATATATCTACTAAGATATAAATCTTCATATATCTGTAGAGATATACCTATCTATATAGTTTTATAAGATATAGATTTATCGTAAAATAGGTGCGCAAGTATGCTCATTGCTCCTCTTCACCACTTTGAATGCTTCAGTTAGGCTGCCACAGGCAGCCGTTTGCCGGCAAATAGTGTGAAATCCCTAATTTAGCTTGACGACGTCGCTTCATAAGTTCAATAGGTATCCCACCGCACTCCATACCGGTAAACCCCTTCAGATGGGTGCTGAGATGACTGCGGATGGAGCCGCTCTGATCAATATAGGAAACAGGATGTAACCAGCTCACTGGAGGAATGTGTTCAAGAAAAGGGACGGCGATGGGCCCCTTCCTCAGGCTCAGTGTGGTCATACTGAGCCTGAGGAATGCACCCTTTGCGGACCCGAAACGTTGCCATTCTTGCATGAATAAAAGACATTTGCTTGAACACATTCCTTCAATGTGCTTGTGACATCCTCTTTCCTATATGTTTGTTCAAAAGTAAGGCAATTACTTGCCCTGTAATAATTCTTGCAGCAAAGCATCATGGTCCTGCAACAGATTTTGCAGATTAAGCACTTTGAATGTCAATTTTTTTCTTTTGTGCGCGGACTTATTCTCAATAATATTTTATATACAACCTTAGCTGGCTTTTTTTTCCTCTTGGACTTTTTAAACTATTACGTGGGTATTTTTGTGACAATTCAGATAGATCTTTAGTATAACTTTCGCCCCTTTCTCGTTGTTAAATAATCATTTAGTAAAGTGTGGGTTTCCCCCGATATTTGTAAACAATGTCCAGATATTAATATGTTTATATTAGCGGTCATTTTTAATATTAAGAGAAGCACTTGCTATTATTATTATTTTATTATTATTACTATTTTTATTTTTTTGGTCATATGAGTTGTTGCCCAATTATTATTTTTGTGTTCAGTGTCATGTGGTTTTTGATGTATGTATATAATATTATGTGTCATATATTAAAATTAATGTTGTGTATTTTGTGATCCTTAAAATAATCAGTACAGCAATTTTATAGAATTCAATAATAAAAGGAAAACAAAGAGAGAAAGGTGTGGTGTGTATTTTCTTTTTTTGGACCTCACAGTTGTTCCGCATATTGAGTGTCTGTTCAAAATAATAATGATGATAATAATAATTTTAAAAATATATTGCCAAAAGTAGCTCCTAAATATTCCACGGTCACCTGTTAGCGGTATTATAACAAAGTGGAAGCAACTGGGACCAACAGCAACTCAGCCAGGAAGTGGTAGACCACGTAACATGACAGAGCGGAGTCAGCGCATGCTGAAGCACACAGAGCGCAGAAGTCGCGAACTGTCTGCAGAGTCAATAGCTACAGACCTCCAAACTCCATGTGGCCTTCAGATTGGCACAACAACAGTGCGTAGAGAGCTTCATGGAATGGGTTTCCATGTCCGAGCAGCTGCATCCAAGCCTTACATCACCAAGTGCAATGCAAAGCGTGGGATGCCGTGGTGTAAAGCGCGCCGCCACTGGACTCTAGAGAAGTGGAGACGTGTTCTCTGGAGTGACCAATCACGCTTCTCTGTCTGGCAATCCGATGGACGTGTCTGGGTTTGGCGGTTGCTATGAGAACGGTACTTGCCTTACTGCATTGCGCCAAGTGTAAAGTTTGGTGGAGGGGGGATTATGGTGTGGGGTTGTTTTTCAGGGGTTGGGCTTGGCCCCTTAGTTCCAGTGAAGGGAACTCTTAAGGCATCAGCATACCAAGACATTTTGGACAATTTCATGCCCCAACTTTGTGGGAACAGTTTGGCGATGGCCCCTTCCTGTTCCAACATGACTGAGCACCAGTGCACAAAGCAAGGTCCATAAAGACATGGATGGGGGAGTTTGGGGTGGAGGAACTTGAATGGCCTGCACAGAGTCCTGACCTCAACCTGATAGAACACCTTTGGGATGAATTAGAGAGGAGACTGTGAGCCCGGCATTCTCCCCCAACATCAGTACCTGACCTCACAAATGGTCCAACATTCCCATAGACACACTCCTAAACCTTGTGGACGCCTTCCCAGAAGAGTTGAAGCTGTTATAGCGGCAAAGGGCGGAGCTAACCCAATATTGAACCCTACGGACTAAGACTGGGATGTCATTAAAGTTCATGTGCGTGTAAAGGCGTCCCAATACTTTTGGTAATATAGTGTATAATACAGTTTTTATATATAGTTGAGCTCCAGTCAAACAGCTAAATACACAGATGGGATACATATTTGGAAGATAATTTACCTGCTAAAAGATTTGTATTCTTGTCCATCAAGTCCTGAAATTTACACACCTCTGCCAC